AAATAAGGTAACATTTACCCTTTCTAGGTCTACAATCCTATAAAATTTGACAAATAAATACATTATAATGTAGATATAGAACATTTCCAAAACCCCCAAAAAGGTCCTTATTTCTGCCTCAGTTTTATGAGCTGGATTGTATTCAATTATATATCTTTACCTTAATTTTCTTAAATAACTTCTCATTGATTCATGTTTAGGTTATTTCCAGTTTTGTCAGTTCAAACAAGGTGCAGTAAATATCTTTGTACATAAATCTTGGTGTGCTTTTGCAGTGACAGGGTAAATTCCTAGTAGTGGATTGATAGAATCAATGGTTATATGCCTTTAAGATTGTGATAGATATGGCCATATGGCCTCATCCAAAAGTTGTCCTAATTTACTTCCCAACCAATTACAGATGAGAGTGCCTATTCCTGTCTCTCTTGTTAACATTGAGTGCCACCAACTTTAATTTTTGCTTTTCATTATTTTTTTGTTTTTGAGGCAGGGTCTTGCTCTGTTGCCCAGGCTGGAGTGCAGTGGCGTGATCTTGGCTCACTGCAACCTCTGCCTCCCTGGGCTCAGGCGACCCTCCACCTTTGCCTTCTGAGCAACTGGGACTACAGGCATGCACCACCATGCTCAGCTAATTTTTGTATTTTTTGTAAAAATGGGGTTTCACTATGTTTCCCAGGCTGGTCTCAAACTCCTGGACTCAAGCAATCCACCCGCCTCGGCCTCCCAAAGTGCTGGGATTACAGGCATGTGCCACTGTGCCTGATCAATTTTTGTTAATTTGATGGGAAAATATTACCTAGCAAAGTAACTTGCATTCAGTGGTGTTTTTTTTTCCTTCATATTAAAAACATATCTAAACAAACAAACAACAAAAAATCAGAGTTCACACATGAAATATAATCCATGTTGTTTATTCTTAAAACTACAATATTATACTAGAGGAAATGTGGATAGAAGTTCATCTTTGTTTCCATTATTCTCAATGTGATTTTCATTTTCTACCTATCCGTATCTGCATTTTGGTAACCATACCAAAATGTACAAGTATAAAATGTACAAAATGTATATACATATGTTAGGATGATTATAAAAATGTGTATATGTATAGTTTGTGTGTTGTTTTGCTTGCTTTTTAGTTCACATTATTTCATGAACTTTTTTGTCTCAAAAAACTTCATTTTAATAGTTTTTGGCTGTGGCAAAGTTTGTTTAATAATTCCACTTCTAAACTTTGTTTCCATTTTTTGGCTATTATTAATAAGACTTCAAGTGCCACCTTTTACATATCAAAGGTTTTTTAAAATCCACTTAAATTATTAGGATGAATTTCTACTGGTCTTATTCCTCTGGATCTAAATATATCAACATTGACATGTGAGGGTAAAATTTTATCATTTGAATTTTTTTTTTCATTTCACTGAAAGTTCAGTCACTTCTTCCTGAAGAATGTTTTAATGTAAAAGAGAAAAATAAATAGATTAAGCTGGAATAGAAGAAAATTGATACGCAATCTGTTTATTTTTCTCTTTTACATTAAAACATTCTTTTAATGATATATGCTGCTTATAAAGATTTCCCACCCACTTTCCAGAGGTAATCCACTGTTACGTAGTAAGTTCAGTAAATTTTTTTCAGTTGAATTTTCTCAATAGGTCATTAATGTGTTTCAGAGTTGAAAAGTTACAAAACAGTGTGTAGTGAAAAATCTCCTTTCCCTTGTGTCCCAGTCTGCCTAGTTCTTGGAGCCAGTTGATGTTACCAGATTCTTTTGTATTCTTTCAGACACACATGGTATGCATTTTTGAGCAAAGGGGTGTGGGTGTGTATCCCTCTGTTTTTAAGTTATAAATGTTAGCATGCTACCCATACTTTTTTCATATGTTTTCTTAAGTAACTTTATTTCATTTATTTGTATTTAATTTTGAAAAATTAGATACTACATGAACGTAGTTCAAAAGTAAAATGATGTAAAGGCTGAAAATGAATAGTCGGCTGGGCGCGGTGGCTCACGTCTGTAATCCCAACACACTGGGAGGCCTAGGTGGGCCGATCACGAAGCCAGGAGATGGAGACCGTCCTGGCTAACACGGTGAAACCCCGTCTCTACTAAAAATACAAAAAAAAATTAGCCGAGCGAGGTGGTGGGCGCCTGTAGTCCCAGCTACTCGGGAGGCTGAGGCAGGAGAATGGCGGGAACCCGGGAGGCGGAGCTTGCAGTGAGCCGAGATCGCGCCACTGCACTCCAGCCTGGGCAACAGAGCGAGACTCCGTCTCAAAAGAAGAGAATAGTCTCTCCCTGTTCCAATTCACTGTCTGCTAGGTACCATTCTGCACTGAGTATGTATAGAGAAGCAAATAGGAAGTGACACAGTTTTGTTTTTTCTGCTCTTGTAATTCTTACATTAACCTTTTCGTATCTAAGAAAGCAGTATCACATAGTCCTTAAGAGCAGAGGCTCTGGGGCCTCCCTGCATCCAGATCTCTGCACTGCCCCATATCATCAGTGTGGTCCCAAGCAAGTTCTTTAATCTGTCTGCGCTTTACAGTCTTCAGATGTAAAATGAGTCACTACACAGACTTCGCTTAGAATAACACTACACTTAAGTATATGGGCTTGCTAGTATTGTTTGTTTTATTAAGAAGAGCAATGAATAAAATTATATCCAAGAATCAGGACCAGTTTGATTTATATTTGTGATGTGTATGAACATGGGTAAATTCATGAGATTCCTCACTTGCTTAAATTTTAATAAATTTTAGAGAACATTAGAAAACAAAATTAAAGCAGCTGAAATTTATTTTGTGGTTCCTTTTTGGGTTCATAGTTTTTTGTTTTTACGTATGCTTCTTTAAACATATCTTAAAACTAAACAGACATGCGTTCTTTATGTAATAAACGTGTCCCAGAGAAGATGAGGGTAGAGATGGCTCTTAAGAATATGAACTTTTCGTATAGTGCGTTGTAATTTGAAACTGCTTTCCCAGGCATTTCCTATAATCCCAAATTTGATTGATTAATGCGTACATAGCTATACATAATACTTATTTTTGAGTGACAATAGCCCATAGAAATTTAAAATTCCCTGGCCATACCTTTTCAGGGGCAAATCATTAATTAACATTTCTTAAGGCAAACAAGGGACAAGGGAGACTGAAGTGTATTTATATTTCAATTATTCCATCTTCAGTTATTTTTCTTTTTAAAAGACAAAGCAACAGCAAAACCTCTCTTCCCCTTTCCCATCCTCAGATCCCAGTTACAAAATATGTTCATTGTAGAAAATATAAAAATATAGAATAAACATGGGGAGAGAGAGTCAATACCACCTTCCAGCTTAATATTATTTCTGTTAACAATTTGGTGTCTAGACTCCTGGCTTTTTTCTTTTATTTATATAAGCTCACACAGTCACTCATGTTATTGACTGTTGGCCTTTTACAGTGATGGTATACACTGGTGTATTTTTTTTATTAATAAATTTCAAACATTTTAATCATGCCATTAAATCATCTGTAGGGTTGTTTATAATAGGTGCATCACATTCCTTTAAGTACATATGCCACACTGCAATTTATTTTGTAATATATTTGTGTTCTATTAAAAATAAATTAGTAAATGTCCTTGCAGACAAATCCTTTTGCACATCCATTATTTCCTCATGATAAAAATCTAAGACATGAGATTATTGGGTTGTAGGAGATGCACTTTCTCATACTTTTGATACACACAGCCAAACTCTTCTCCAGATTGTTTGTTACCTCGCCACATGCTTGCCAGTATGGGGTATTGTGTTGGGAGAAACCTATGTCCATTTGAGACCCAAATGTCTCCCCTTATGAACGGGTACCAATCACTTTCGGTGCCTCTAACCCATTTCTTCTTTCCCACTTCACTTCCCTTTGTCTCTATTCTTCCGTATCCTTCCTTGTTTCCACCTCAGAACTTCACAGAAGCTGGATTTGATCCAGGGCAGAGAAGGAAGCTCTGAATGTTCTTCCTCACTCCTCACCTGCTTCTTAGTTCATTCGTTATATAAAATATTCTTGGGGCTTTGTACAGCATCCAGTTCGTCAAAAATCATACCCATCTTTTTCAAATTTGCAAACTGACTTTCACGTTTGTGACTTTTAGTAAGTTAATCTATTACACTTGTGAAGTGACCTTATGCTCTAGCATGGTGGTTAATGAAGTGACCATCCCTGGAATCCCACGGACCAGGCTCAGAGACTCACTCCTGTTCTTGCTGACTTTGGGATCTAGGATGTGTTATTTAACCCCTCCAGCCCTTCTATTTCTTCACTTGTAAAATGGAGATAATGCTAATACTTTCCTCAGGATTTTGTGAAGATTTAAAAAGGTGATGCTTACATGTGCTCATTACACTGCCTAAAATATAGCAAGCCTGCAGTAGGATAGCTGTTATTATTACCTCATCTAACTGTCACAGCATGTGTGAATCAAGCAAAGAGTGTATTTCTCCTGCATTTCAGTAAACAGGAGCTGAAAGCTGGCTTTTCCTGTCATTCCATCTAGAGAGTGGTGTCCTAAATTACTAAATGGTGGTCCCAAAGTCCTAAATTCAGGTTGAATCACGTTCGTCTGTAAGAACTATCACCAAGTGGGACAACTGAAGTGAGTGACAGAGATTGTGCCCTGGAATCAGGGTAATCGGGAACAACATGAGATGCTTCAAAAGCTTTACATCATGGGGTCTTGAGAGGTCAGCCTCCAAAAGCCTCGACTGACCTCCCGGCAAGTAGGTGGGAAGATGCACTTGGCTCCAGGAGAAGAGGACTGGCTCCTGTGTGTCTTGACATAGGAGGAGAGGATACTGTATCTGAAAAACTTCCAGACACAGAGGCCAAAGAGTCTTCACAAAAAAAGTTTTAAGTTGACTGAGCACTGAGAGCAAAACATTTACTAGGTTTCTCTGCTTTGGTTTACATTGCTTTACATGCATATAACTAATTAGGTTTTAATCCTAACTTGTTTCCGACAGGGCATGGTGCTGATGTGAAATGTGTAGACTGGCATCCAACCAAAGGGTTAGTTGTTTCAGGAAGTAAAGATAGTCAACAGCCAATCAAGTTCTGGGATCCCAAGACTGGGCAGAGTCTTGCAACACTGTAAGTGATAGGAGCCCCACTTTGGCCTTTGAACAAAGGGGAGCAAAGCAGTGTATCCTTTAACTTTTAGCTTTGTTTTCTCTTAGTATTTCTGGAAAAGTCATTTAGGCAACAGATGGACTTGGATCTGTAGACTTCTTATTAATTAAGTATGATTCATCTCTGAACTCTTAATGAAGTAAGGCTTGTTTCTGTCCTGCCATGTAGACCTAAGTTTAATTTGGTTGTTATATGGGGGTGGGGAGGAGGATGAGGAGGGAGGTGGTTACTATTCTAGCCCATTGTCTGTCGTCAGAATACCTTGTGGCACTGTGAGGAGTGGATGCGTGTGCCCCTTACTAGACACGGCCCAGCCTTCTCCATCTCACATCGTCTATTTCGAGAGGGTTTTCCTCTGGTTTTGAACCAGTTCTCATTTTTTGTCCGATGTGCTTACTTATGTAAGCTATGTAATCTAGCTTTCTCTTTCAGTTATTTGTGAACATTCACAACTACATGCATATGTTAACGTTTTTTTGACGAAGCATCCATTTCCTGGTCTTTCCCACTGGGAAGAGGACCATATTCAAAGTGAATTGGTTGGAGCAAGGCCGCTTTGTTGTACAACCCCAATGGCCATGCCAACCTGGAATACCTTGTGAATTTTCCCTTGGATATGTCCCTTGTGCAGGCCAAGGGTTGTTGCATTGTCTTTAGTTCAAATTAAGTTTCAAACTTTCCAGTCCATTTTTATGCTTTGTCTTAATTAGAGAAACTTTATGGAATTTTTGAAATGTAATGAGCTTTATTGAATATTAATTTCTGTGTTCATGTGCTTCCCCTGCTTCATGGATAAATTTTACTGTTCAGTGGAAGCTCTGCTGCTATATTATTATTATGATTATTATGATTATTATTATTATTTTGAGACAGAGTCTCACTCTGTCACCCAGACTAGAGTGCATTGGCGCAGTCTTGGCTCACTGCAACCTCTACCTCCTGGGTTCAAGCGATTCTCCTGCCTCAGCCTCCTGAGTAGCTAGGACTACAGGCATGCACCATCACGCCTGGCAAATTTTTGTATTTTTAGTAGAGTCTGGGTTTCACCATGTTGGCCAGGCTGGTCTTGAACTGACCTCAGGTGATCCACCTGCCTCGGCCTCCCAAAGTGTTGGGATTACAGGCGTGAGCCACCACACCCAGCCTCTGCTGCTGTTTTAACTGGTTGATGAGAGCTGTCTATGTCTGGGCAGTGCATATTATTTCTGTCCTTGACCTGTTTCTTTTAAGAGTGTTTAAAACTGTGATCCTTTAATGTTACAGGCTTTATTGCTTCTAGGCCGAACCTCTTGCCATCTTGATCCATTCGCTTTTCATCAAAAATGGTCATTATATTCATACTTGTTTTGAATTCTGACTTTTTTTTTGTTTTGATACTTTGTTTCTAGTCACGCCCATAAAAACACAGTAATGGAAGTGAAATTAAACCTTAATGGCAATTGGCTACTCACAGCATCACGTGATCATCTCTGTAAACTTTTTGATATCAGAAACCTAAAAGAAGAGCTTCAAGTCTTCCGAGGTCATAAGAAAGAAGCCACAGGTCAGTGGCTGTGAGACACTTCTCTTTGACAAGGGCAGCTGTGGCATTCTCAGATCCTGACCGCCGTGTCTTTTCCCCTGTCTTTGTTCTGCAGCTGTGGCCTGGCATCCTGTTCATGAAGGACTGTTTGCCAGTGGAGGCTCTGATGGCTCTTTGTTATTCTGGCATGTTGGGTATGTAAGATTTAGTATGTGAAAAAGTCGTGTATTTTGTGAAGAGAGCACCTGAATGTGTGCAGACATGATAGTTTTGTAACTTTTTTGAGTGTTCATATATCCTATATCAGTGACTGCTTGCAGTTTTCAATTCTAAATCCAGCCTGGAATAGAAAATGTACCTCTGTTTGTGGATATGGAAGTCATTAAGGAGGAATAAAATAGATTTCCTAGTTTCTAAATGCTTGCAGCCTTTTCCCCTATGAAGTGCTCTTTGGATGAAAGGGTAAATGTCCTTTGGCGATGACAAGCCAGTACCCCTGAGACATGTGGAATTCACCAGAGTCCAAGTCCAGGCTTTGGTAGCTTCGTTTTAAGGGTAACAGAAAATGTCTTTTTCGAGGGGGAGGGAGGAGCTGGGTAACTTTTGTGAAAAAGTCTTCTCTCTTTGGTGCTGTTGCAGGGTAGAGAAGGAAGTGGGTGGGATGGAGATGGCCCACGAAGGGATGATCTGGAGTCTGGCCTGGCATCCTCTTGGGCATATTCTCTGCTCAGGCTCAAATGACCATACTAGGTAAGCTTTATATTGAAATAGCAAAGCTTTATATGGAGCAACAGGAAATAAATACTGTATGGGTTTATTTTTATTGGTTGATTGATATATTAATTTATATTCCAACTTATTCTTGGGAACTTTTTTGTAGTGGTTTACAAACACTTATATTGCAATAAAGAGATTGGGTATTGAATATGGTTTTGGCTATTCAAATTTTGTTTTGCCTTCTGACTTAAAACAAAAGTTTTCCTTTTTTTTTTTTTTTTCTTTGAGACAGGGTCTCTGCCCAGGCTGACATGCAATGGTGCGGTCTCAGCTCACTGTAGCCTCAACCTCCCTGGGCTCAGGTGATCCTCCTACCTCAGCCTCCTGAGTAGCTGGGACTATAGGCGCACACCACCACACCTGGCTAATTTTTGCATTTTTTGTAGAGATGGGGTTTCACCGTGTTGCCCAGGCTGATGTCGAACTCCTGGGCTTAAGCAATCCCCCTGCCTCAGCCTCCCAAGGTGCTGGGATTACAGGCGTGAGCCACCTTGCCCGGCCCCACATTTTACTCTTATTTTTATTATTATTTTAAGAGACAAAGTCTTATTCTGTCACCCAGACTGGAGTGCTGTGGTGAGATCACACAGCTCATTGCAGCCTCAAACTCCTGGGCTCAAGCCATCTTCCCGCCTTAGCCTCCTGAGTAGCTGAGACTACAGGTGTGTGCCACCACACCCAGCTAACTTTTTGATTTTTATTTTGTAGAGACAGGGTTTTGCTATATTGCCCAGGCTAGTCTTGGACTCCTGGACTTAATCCTCCTGCCACAACCTCCCAAAGTGCTGGGATTACAGATGTGAGCCAAAGTGTATGACCTCACATTTTAAATTTGTAGAAGAAACAAATTGTAAAAACTTGTTGTGTTTACCAAGGGTCTGCCTAGTACTGTTAAGTGCCCAGAAAAATACTGAAACCATGCTTCTCTTCTCCTCTAATTATTTTTACAGCAAATTCTGGACTCGAAACCGACCAGGTGATAAAATGCGAGATCGATATAATCTAAACCTTTTACCTGGAATGTCTGAAGATGGAGTAGAATATGGTGAGACTCTTGCACATCTGTCCTTCTTTGAAATCTGGTATTCTGTTATAGAAGTGTTAGATGTTGGGAAGATTATACAAAATGAATTTTAATTTTATAGTAGATTTATTTATAAATCATCGGTGACATTCATTTTTATAAAGCATTAATTTTATCAGTCGCTACTTTTATAAATTCTCTATTGACAATGGTGTATTACTATTTATAGATGACCTTGAACCTAATAGCCTGGCAGTAATTCCAGGAATGGGAATACCAGAACAACTAAAATTAGCTATGGAACAAGAACAGATGGGTAAGAGAAGTTACACGATACATTTTATTTTTATAAATTTTTTTCTTGACCTGTTTATCTTCCTGATAAATATATTGAAATACCAAAATGATTTATGTTGAGAAATGTTGATAAAAATTATACAAACGGCATAATACTTAAAATCTGTTCTTCCAATAATGTGTTCATTGATCAAGTGGCCAATTTCTTTTATTTAAGAGGCAAGGGCGGGGGGAGGGATTGCATTGGGAGTTATACCTGATATAAATGACGAGTTGATGGGTGCAGCACGCCAACATGGCACAAGTATACATATGTAACAAACCTGCATGTTATGCACATGTACCCTAGAACTTAAAATAATAATTAAAAAAAAAAAAAAAGAGGCAAACCACTTTTCTTTATGGTTACAGGGAAAGATGAATCAAATGAAATTGAAATGACAATTCCAGGTTTAGACTGGGGGATGGAGGAAGTGATGCAAAAGGATCAGAAAAAAGTACCTCAGAAGAAAGTTCCTTATGCCAAACCCATTCCTGCTCAGTTCCAGCAGGTAAGTAAAAGTGATTCCACCTCATCCACGCAGAGAGGTTTTGGTTGGTTAGTTTGACATTTCTCTTGGATTATCTCACCGTTGAAGGTGTTTCTATACTGGAGCATTTTTCCCATATTCATGCACTGTTAGACATGGTTCTCATCTACTGCTTTGCAGTTGTATTGAGTTTGTTATCAGTCTTCTCTGTTCTGTCCTCACCTGCTTATTATCATCCATGCTATGAGAGGAAATAGAAGAAAGGCACGGAGCAGAGGGAGTATGGGAGCATGCTGATTCTCTTCTCCATTGTTTATCTATCTTCTGCTTTAATTGTCCCCTCAACACAAAGGGCATGTACCCTGTGAACAGGCTGGCAAGCTTTGCATTCTTAATAACATGAAGTATCTTGCAGCTTTTATCACCATAGTAATTTCTACCTAGTAATATGTCAGTAAGAATTAGCATGAGTCATGTACTTGAGTCATGGAGAAAAGGTATAAAGAAAGACGGTTCGGAGGTTAGATTGAGCAGATGACATTGTAGAGTGGTTTTCTCATTTTATCATTGTGATTTTCATACTTAGGGTATATTTTAGTATTCTCTTCTTTCCCAAGGCTTGGATGCAAAATAAAGTTCCAATTCCTGCTCCAAATGAGGTGCTGAATGACAGAAAAGAAGACATTAAATTGGAAGAGAAGAAAAAAACACAAGCAGAAATTGAGCAAGAAATGGCTACATTACAGTATACTAACCCACAACTTCTGGAGGTGTGTGAAGCTCTTTAGGGAGGAATTGAGGATGAGCTAAGAGGGTAGTGGTGGCATTTTTATTGATATGCTCTTAAGGAAAAGGGAAGGGACTCTCCAATGGTCTGACAAGCACCGCCATTTCCTCTTGCTATGCTAGAAGACTAGTTTCCAAAAGAATCCTGTTTCATAAAATTTTAAAAAATGTGTTATTTATGTATTTTGTTTTATTTATTTTATTTTATTTTAGAGACAGAGTCATGCCCTGTCACCCAGGCTGGAATGCAGTGGTGCGATCATGGCTCGCTACAACCTCTGCCTCTCAGGCTCAAGTGCTCCTCCCACATTAAGCCTCTTGAGTGGCAGAGACTACATACACGCACCATCACGTCCGAGTAACTTTTTTTTTTTAAAGTGACTTCCTTGAGTCATATCTTGGACTTTTAAAACCCAATTAGGGTCAGGCGTGGTGGCTCACACCTGTAATCCCAGCACTTTAGGAGGTCGAGGCAGGCAGATCACCTGAGATCAGGAGTTCGAGACCAGCCTGGTCAACCTGGTGAAACCCCACCTCTACTGAAAATACAAAAATTAGCTGGGCATGGTGGTTGCATGCCTGTAGTCCCAGTGACCATGGGAGGCTGAGGCAGGAGAATCACTTGAACTCCAGAGGCAAAGGTTGCAGTGAGCTGAGATCTCTCCACTGCACTCCAGCCTGCACCACAAAGTGAGACTCTGCCTCAAAAACAACAATAACAACAACAAAAACGGAATTAGTGGGGCAGTGAGTAGATCTAAGTTAAATATACATTTTAAATTGAAAAGATAAAGCCAACATAGTTTTAATTTGAATTCACCTATTTATGAAAGACTTTTTCTTTTTTGTCAGCTCATATAGCAGGTAGCTTGTTCTTATTTTTCCTACCTGTGTTAGCTACCAAGAATGATGAAAGTGGTGAATTATTGGGCTTTCCCTGATCAAGATGGACATAAATAATCCTGACTAGGCCAGGCACAGTGGCTCACGCCTGTAATCCCAGCACTTTGGGAGGTGAGGCAGGAGGATCAGTTGAACCCAGGAGTTTGAGATCAGCCTGGGCAATACAGCAAGACCCTATCTCTACTACTGCTACTACTACTACTACTACTACTACTAATAATAATAATAATAATTAGCTGGGTGCGGTGGCACGTGCCTGTAGTCCCAGCTACTCCGGAGGCCGAGGTGAGAGGATCGCTTGAGTCCAGGAGGGTGAGGCTGTAGTGAACCATGATCGCACCACTACACTCCAGCTTGAGGGACAGAAAAAAAAAAATAAGGAAAAAAAAATCCTTACTGTTGTGTCCCAGGACTTAAAAAGAATGAGAAAGAACCTAAAACTCCTTACAGTGCTTGAGTGTTGCATGGACCCTAATTACCACTGGAGAATGAAGAGTTTGAGCAGTTTTTATGTTTATTTTAAGAGTCCCCTAATGGAATACATGACAGCAATATTGTCATTTTCAAGGGTTCTGGCCTATTTATTCAACATGCTTTTTTCTTTCTTTCTTTCCAGCAACTTAAAATTGAAAGACTTGCACAGAAACAAGTTGAGCAAATTCAGCCTCCTCCCTCATCTGGCACCCCTCTCCTTGGACCCCAGCCTTTTCCAGGACAAGGTCCAATGTCTCAGATTCCTCAAGGTTTTCAACAGCCCCATCCATCTCAGCAGATGCCAATGAACATGGCTCAAATGGGGCCTCCAGGTCCACAGGGACAGTTTAGGCCTCCTGGACCCCAGGGACAAATGGGACCACAAGGTCCTCCACTGCATCAGGGAGGTGGGGGGCCACAAGGATTCATGGGACCACAGGGACCCCAGGGCCCGCCCCAGGGGTTGCCACGGCCTCAGGACATGCATGGGCCCCAAGGAATGCAGAGGCATCCTGGACCTCATGGCCCTTTGGGACCTCAAGGGCCACCTGGACCACAAGGTAGTTCTGGTCCTCAAGGTCATATGGGTCCTCAGGGTCCACCTGGCCCACAGGGTCACATAGGCCCCCAAGGTCCGCCTGGCCCTCAGGGTCACTTGGGCCCACAGGGGCCTCCGGGTACTCAAGGTATGCAGGGACCACCTGGTCCCAGAGGAATGCAAGGACCTCCTCATCCTCATGGGATCCAAGGCGGGCCAGGGTCTCAAGGGATCCAAGGTCCTGTGTCTCAGGGACCTCTGATGGGATTGAATCCAAGAGGAATGCAGGGGCCTCCAGGCCCCCGGGAGAACCAGGGTCCTGCTCCCCAAGGGATGATGATGGGCCACCCGCCTCAAGAGATGAGAGGACCTCACCCTCCGAGTGGACTGCTGGGACACGGCCCTCAGGAAATGAGAGGTCCTCAGGAGATCCGAGGCATGCAGGGGCCTCCGCCCCAAGGATCAATGCTGGGACCTCCCCAGGAACTGCGAGGACCTCCAGGCTCACAAAGTCAGCAGGGGCCACCCCAGGGCTCTTTAGGACCTCCACCCCAGGGTGGCATGCAAGGACCCCCCGGACCTCAGGGACAGCAGAACCCAGCAAGAGGGCCACATCCATCTCAAGGGCCTATACCATTCCAGCAACAGAAAACGCCTCTGCTAGGTGATGGGCCCCGGGCCCCCTTCAACCAGGTATTACTCATTTCCAACTTACAGGCATTACCACACTGGGAAAATACGCTCTGCACAGAAGCGATACTGCTGAGTAGTGTGGAAAAGGGTCACAGCTGGATATAAATACTTATTAAGTAGTGGCAGTAGCTTAAGATGCTAGCATCCTGGCTGAAGAAGGAAATCATAAGAATGATGAGTTAGGTTATACTCCCATTAAGTCCATCTCAGTATTCATTTTTACTTCTCACCTTTTTTCTTTTTTATGGTAATAGGGTTTCTTCCAGAAAAGGTCAACTCTCATTTGAGTACAGTTGATAATTGTCCCAGGGCTCCAGGAGAGCTGTGACCCTGAGGAGGAAGCATGTTTTACATGGTGGTCGGCTCTGAGGCTGTCATGCCTCCTTTTCTGGGCCCTTTACATTGCAGCCTGGTGTTCCATGGGCCTGCCAGCCACTGAGTCACCAACTCTGCTTTGAAGAGATAGGATGGAATATTTAACCATGAGTATACTATAGACTGTATACCTCACTCTGTTTATTACAGTGAATAGAAATAAACGAGACCTGTGATTCCAGAATTGAGCTGAGCATTCTGGAAATGGTGACCCTTTGGATGAAACTCTGCTCAAGTTGTTTTCAGCTCACATATAACAGTATTTGCAGGAAGGAGCATTTCTGTAGAAATTCTCCTTTTTTGAGGACTCTGTTTTTGTTAGCCAATTTTTATTGCTCATTCGCTGAGCTTGTGCTTGAGAGATACTGTGAAGTTCAGGTTGCTTGGGGGAGTGAATTACAAAAAGAATTGCGTGAGCATAAATAGATGTAATACTGCTCAGCTATGTGCATTTTATGCTTCTCTCAAGTTCTTAGTCTGGAGGCATTATTTGGGTATGAATAACTGAGTTGTGTCCCTGAAAACTCACTTTTGGTCCATTGTGGACCAAAAGTGAGTGAGTAAGCGAATGTTGACTCCCTGAGCCACTTGGAGAAAGGGGATGCTACGGATGTAGAAAGCACAATCTGTTTTGGTTTTTCAAATACCACCAGGAATCCCTAATGTAAAGATGACCATTGGGTTCCCTGAACTCAACTAACTAGCTAAAACAAATTATCTCCTATTCTAAAGTAGATCTTCCAGAACCTAAAAGTGTTATAGCAATGGGGAATCTGATGGCATCTGAGTTATTTCCAGATTTTTATTCAGCACTTCTCAGAAGTTAGGATGAATTAAATAGAGGATTGCCATTCTAAATTGCCCTAAATCTTGAAGTATTATATATTTTATTAATTTACTGCTCAGTTGTAGGTGTGTATAATATTTATTATAAGCTGTTTTCCTAACTTTCTGGTAGTAAATTAACAGTTTTCATTTTGGAGGATTAAAAAAATGTGAACTTTAGCTGCTGTGTTATAACTGAAACATGTCAGAGTCACAAGGACAGGCCTGAGTTTCTGGGACAATTCGATGAGATTTTTGATCGTACCATGTAGTAGAAGATGTTATGCATGGAAAGCGTGGCTCTGAAATTTTAATTGGCCTATGGAAATGCTGGCAGAATGAGTCTGAAGATCTGATACTTTGTAGTGCGTTTCAGGTCTCAGAAGTTGCCTGATGAACATTTGTGCTCTTTTTCCTTATATGCTGAAATATAACTTGCTTCACATTAACCAGACCAGTTACTTAAACCAGTTGTTTTAATTGGTTTAATTTAGTGTTACTGTGTTGGGATTTCTGACATTCCATTAATGCTCTTTTTTGGCATTACAAGTAAAGATCTAATTTTAAATAAAAGTTGTCAACAGGTTTAAAATACAGGTGTTTTAAAAAAATTATTATAGTACGAGAGGTATCTCCTTTCTCCTGATTTAAGGACAATGTTGCTGTCATCTCACTAGTTAATATTTACTGGGTGTTTTTATGTTGTCATGTTATGATACAATCGCTATTTATGTAGCACAAGCCTGTGATTTCATACCCTCACTTTAAAAACATATTTTCAGGAAGGACAGAGCACAGGCCCCCCACCCCTGATACCAGGCCTAGGGCAGCAGGGAGCACAAGGTCGCATTCCTCCTCTGAACCCTGGACAAGGACCTGGCCCCAACAAAGGTAAGTATCTGCTCAGCTGAATAAAATATTATATTCTACCACCTTTGTGCAGTTTACAGTAAATAGTTTTGTTGGTCAGTCTTTGATAGACTGGTCATTTGAACCTCTCGGCAAAATAAGGGCATGGTCATTCAGGTAGGAACTTTGCCTTTGGTTGTTTTCCTAGATCTGTTTAGTAGGCAGCAGCGCTGGCCAGAGGAAGTAAGCCCCTCACCCCCGAAGCTCACAGTGAAGGCACCCGAGCAGGCTCCAGCAGTCGTGCCTGTGTGGCAGGGCTGGCCTTGCCCATCTGTTGCCAATGCAGGTGGTTCCTGTGCTCACTGAGTGCATATGTATGTTTCTACCATCCTGAAGAGATGAATTGTTTCTGCTTAAATTTTTTGACAGTGCTTTTATTATCACACCGTGTCCTCCCAAATCCTGTCATATATTGAATTCTTTAGCTGGTTATGTAGTTGTGCACCATTTGAAAAGAAGAAAGCACTCTACCCATATGTGGTTCCTCAGGTTGTTGATATGAAAAGGAAAGAGATGAGAATGATTAGTATTGAGATGTGGGGCTGTTTGGAAGTTTAGAGTTAATCCTTCCGGAGCTGGAGCAGGAGCGTGGTAGGCAGCACGCTGTTGGGGAGAGTTGGAGGGGGTGACTCGGAGTGTGGATGGAGGGGAGTGAGGAAACACTGTGTTATGTTCGACACACACTTCATAGCAGGGAGAAACCACAACTCGGAGAATCAGGAGGACCGCAGAGGTTGCCCTTCACAGAACTTTACTCTCTCAGTTTTAATTGGCTAAGCCCACAGCACTGGGTAGTGCATGTTAAGATTCTTGCCCCGATTTTATCCAATTAAGAAAAGTTCTTGTCAGCATTACAGCCCTGGGACTTTGTGAATTTATGCTAATCTTGAATTGATGTGTGATATTAGAGGTAAGAAAGAGATAAGGGAACTAGAGTGTTTACTGCTTTCCCGTTGTGTGGAAGCGGTAGTAGAGGCTCTACGGAGGGAAGGTGGCCCACAGGGAACTAGAGAAACAAAAAGGAGAGTCTTTTACCCCCCAAGTTATCGCCATCAGCAAACTGAGAGCTGCCTCTCTTCCTCTCCCTGCCCTGTGTCTGTCTCCACCTCCTTCCCTCTCTCTCATCCTTGCTCTTTCCCTGTTCTCTTTATCCCCCGCCCCCTTTCTTTCTCTTCCTCCTTTCTCCTCCCAGGGACCAAAGGGAGAAGGGAGAGCCGAGAAAGTGGCCCTGCCATCCCCTACTGGAATAACCGCCGCCGCCGCCCCATCACTGGTGGCCACATCCCTTCTAATTTGTAGTGGTGGGTTTCTTTCCTTGAAGAGCAGGGTACTTTTAAACAGATAGAGGTAATGGGAGGATTAATATTCATAGGTAAGTCCAAACGGAATATGTTTAGCTTCCTTACTCCAAAGGTCTGCTGTTTCTGAGATTACACTCAGTTCAAACAACATCATGTCAGTGAAGAAGCCATTAGCTGCAGGAACACACTGAGAAGTGAAGGAGCCTGTCTACCAGAAGGAAATGGAGCTAGGATCTTTGCAAACTGCTGAGTAGAGGGGAGAGGACGGGTAAATGAGACAGACGGAAAAGAGCTGGAAAAGAGAGACTCCTTTAATGGCACATTTTTATCCTGAGATTTCTAAGCATTTTATATATATTGCATGGCAAGGAAGAATTGAAATAGCCAATAGAAATGAATGAAAATGAAAAGGGAGGGGCCGGGTACAGTGACACATGCCTGTAATCCCAGCACTTTGGGAGGCTGACTGGATGTATCACTTGAGGTCAGGAGTTCAAGACTAGCCTGGCCAACATGGTGAAACCCTGTCTCTACTAAAAATACAAAAATTAGCCAGGCGTAGTACCTGTAATCCCAGCTACTCGGGAGGCTGAAGCAGGAGAATCACTTGAATCCGTAAGGTGGAGGTTGCAGTGAACTGAGATCATGCCACTGCACTCCAGCCTGGGTGACAGAGTAAGCCTCTGTCTCAAAAAAAAAAAAAAAAAAAAAAAGAAGAAGAAAAGAAAGAGGAGGGATGCTGTTGGTGGGGAGGTGAGAATTATGGCTGGCTGGGGTACAGGAGGGGTTTGTCTTTATTGCCAGGGAAAAGCAGTAAAAGGCATAAACTGGGCTATTGGAGGAATTTCACTTTAAAAACACAGTTTTTGTTTTTAGAATCAAGAGTATCCTTTTACTACCTACTTTTTAAAAGTGCTTGATTTAAACTGTATGTTGACCAAAAATAGGTAGACATTTACAAAAGCTGCAGTAGTTCAGTAGCTGGGAAAACAGTCCCTTCCAAGTTAGGAGGTGAACTAAGGTAACCATCACACATTTAACTGGCATCTTTCCATCTTTATTCAGTACTTTCACTGTGATACATATTTTCAAATATTTTAGAAAACTTTAGTGGGATTCCAAACACTGTCTTCAAAGAATGGTGAGAATATTGTAGATGAGGAACAACATTCATAGAGAGGTGCAGAAAACCCCGACACTGAGCCCAGCAGGGTGGTCATCAGGCAGGTGTTTCAGAGGCCGGGACTGCATGTACCTTACAGAGGAATCAAGTGCAACAAGCTGGGGTTAGAGGAGGAATGGCATGGGTGGCAGTGGCGCCCTGTTGATGGGTGCAGCGGTGAATTTTTGGGGTTAGAGGAGGGATGGCATGGGTGGTAGTGGCGCCCTGTTGATGGGTGCAGAGGTGAATTTTTGGGGTTGGAGGAGGGATGGCATGGGTGGCAGTGGCGCCCTGTTGATGGGTGCAGTGGTGAATTTTTGGGGTTAGAGGAGGGATGGCATGGGTGGCAGTGGCGCCCTGTTGATGGGTGCAGCGGTGAATTTTTGGGGTTAGAGGAGGGATGGCATGGGTGACAGTGGCGCCCTGTTGATGGGTGCAGCGGTGAATTTTTGGGGTTAGAGGAGGGATGGCATGGGTGGCAGTGGCGCCCTGTTGATGGGTGCAGCGGTGAATTTTTGGGGTTAGAGGAGGGATGGCATGGGTGGCAGTGGCGCCCTGTTGATGGGTGCAGAGATGAATTCTTGGTGCGCTTCCTGGCCGGCAGCATTAATTTCCTCTGTTGTGTCCACCTTGGATGTGGAGCAGGTGGCCCTAATGAAATGCCCGAAAGAACAGGGGCAGACAAAGGAAGCTCCTTCTGAAGCCCAGGAGGCTCTCTCATTTTTCCAGTGTAAACTAAGAGATGGAGAGGCACTGCTGATCTCATTTGAGTAATTTGCCCTAGCTAGTGGGTGATGAAGTTGAAGTCTGCACCCCAAAGCTCCTGTTCTGTTATACAATGTCTCAGGGACATTTGTCTCCTAACTAAGCTGAGAGCCAAGGAGGGAAACCATTCTCAATAAAGAATGTATTCTGAAATGTGGAGATGCTACAGATCAGACCTGTGTTGGCAGGTTTCCTGGAAGACATGGTAAAAGTCAGCTTTGTTTCCTTTAGGTGACTCCCGCGGCCCTCCAAATCATCACATGGGCCCGATGTCAGAGAGGCGGCATGAGCAGAGCGGCGGGCCTGAGCATGGGCCCGAGAGGGGGCCTTTCCGGGGTGGCCAGGACTGCAGGGGTCCCCCTGATAGGCGTGGCCCTCACCCAGACTTCCCCGATGACTTCAGCAGACCAGATGACTTCCACCCTGACAAGCGCTTTGGCCACCGGTTACGTGAATTTGAGGGGCGAGGAGGACCTTTACCGCAAGAAGAGAAGTGGAGGCGAGGGGGCCCTGGGCCTCCGTTTCCCCCTGATCACAGGGAATTCAGCGAGGGGGATGGCCGGGGTGCAGCCCGAGGCCCTCCGGGGGCATGGGAAGGCCGCAGACCTGGAGACGAACGTTTCCCCCGGGATCCCGAGGACCCACGTTTTCGAGGGCGCAGAGAAGAAAGGTGGGACAGATACTTTGTGGGCCCATTCCATCTTCAGTGGAGCTTTTTACCTGCTCTCTCCACAAAGGTCTCTTTCTTCTTTTTCTTGAGGAAAGAGAATTACGTCAATTACTAGCCCTACACTCTCTAGAGTTTGCATTTGGACTTTTTAAAAAAGTGTGCTTTTTTAACCTTAGTCTTGTTTTAATCTTTGCTGTCTAGAAGTCTTTTTCGTTTTGCTTATTTTTTTATTTTTTGGTCCTTTTAAAGAGATGGGAGGATCAGTATACTACAAGACTTGCTGGGATTTGACTTAAAATTTCCAGGTTCTTCTTGATTAGAATGATGAAATATGAGGCAGCTACCTAGATTGGAAATAAAGGGGTTGTGAAATAGATGCAAGTTTTGTGTAATTGCCCAATAATCTTAACAAACTTAAACTGAAAAACAATCTTCCTGTTAAACTTAGATCAGGCTTGAACACTCATCTCAGCCTGCTTGGGGAGTTTAAGGAACAGAAGAAATGTGGAGAAAGAAACAGGAATTAGCCCAGGACCAGTGTGGCTTATGCCTGTAATCCCAGCACTTTGGGTGGCTGAGGCAGGAAGATCACTTGAGGCCAGGAATTCAAGAACAGCCTGAACAACATAGTGTAACTCCATCTCTACAAAAAAAAATTAAACATTAGCTGGGTGTGGTGGTGCACGCCTGTAGTCCTAGCTACTCAGGAAGCTGAGGTGGGAGAATCAGCTGAGGCCAGGAGGTTACAGTGAGTTATGATTATGCCATTGCACTTCAGCCTGGGCTACAGAGCAAGACCCTGTCTCTTAAAAGAAAAACAAAACAAAACAAACACCCAGGAAATAGTAAAATCTCAAGTGAGACTCAGAATATTAAAGATGATGATAATTGAGTGTTTATTTTGTGTCAGATGATGTTACCTCATTTAATTCAAGGAATTTGTTTTAATTTAGGAAATTAATGACCTCATTTTATTTAAAGAATTTGTGAGATGGGTGCGACTGTCAGCATCTTATGCTGATTCAGACAGAGTAAGAGCAGTGTCTTGACTTTCCGAGGTCTGGCAGGTGGTAGATGTCAGAGATGGGCTTCAGGCCCATGCTGTTCAGCACTTCCGCTTTTACTGTAGTCTCTGACTGCTCCTTAGCTATCCATGTCCTTTCATCTCATTTTTTTTTTTTTTTTTTTCTTGAGACGGAGTCTTGTTCTGTCCCAGGCTGGCAGTACAGCTGGCCACGTCTAGTCATTGCAGGGCCTCACTTTGCGGTTCAAGTGTTTTCGTGCTAGCTCCTGAGGAGCGTGGCGGACACAGGCGCGGCGTCCACCTCGCCTGGCTAATTTTGTATGTTTTGAGTAGAAGGGGGTTGGTCACCATGTTGGCGAGGCTGCGTCCTTGACAACCTCTGACAGGTGATCACGTTCTTCACCCAACCCCCAGAGGGCTAGGATATCAGGCGTGAGGCCCTGGTGCGCTGGCCTTTTTCAAGTTGTCTTGCTCTTCTGTGGATAGTGATGCTGGGCAAGTGGCTCACTGTGGAGGCGGCCGAGGTGCTGGGCGTCGTGGGACGGCAGGGTCGAGACCAGCTTAAGCCGACAGTGGTAGAACCTTGTTGTATAAAGATTACAACAAAATGCCAGGCATAGGTGGTGCTGCTGGTAAAATCCAGCATTGGGGGCTGGAGGCAGGGAGATCGCGCTGAACAGTGGCAGAGGTAGAGTGAGCTGGTGATTGTCACATTGCCACATCCAGCCTGGGTGACAGGCAAAGTTATGTATGTAGTGGTTGGTGGTTGAGTTATGGTGGCAGCCACCCTGAGGGGTGGTGAGAAAGCGCATGGCTGATGACGCCCCGGAGCATGTGAATAGGTGAGGGGCTAAGGAGAGCATTGTTTTGGGAAGGGGAGATAGGGATGTTCAAAATTAAAGTTTTAAGGGGTCCCAGTGGATTTTTAAGACCCTCTCTTAAATGATATGCAGCATTCTTTGACGATGGGGCCTTTTTATGACTAGACAGCTTCGAGC